CAGGCTCAAATCCACATCCATCTGCTTAATCCGACTCCAGCCGGTCATTCCAGGCTGGATCGGCCACGGAGGGCGTGGGACTCAGGTGCCAGGAAGGCAGATGGTGGTGAGGTCTGAGCCCTCAGATTTCCTGAAAGGACTCCACCTCATTCCACACATTTCCTCCCCAGTTTTGGGAAGCACTGAAGGAACTTCCCATGACTTTTCCACAGAATTTTGTCAGAGAGGGTGACTAAACCAGCTCCCTAACCAGGGACAAAGTGACCATCTGGCCCTGCCTCATGACTGCAGTTCCCCTCTGTCCCTCTCCTTCTGCTCCAGGGTGTGTCCCCAGCATCCATGGGACACTGGCACTGCCATTCCTGGTGCCCCAGAGCTGGTTCTGCCCTGACACAGATCACTCTGGCTGCGCGTCCTCCCCGTGCGCTGTAATCGGCTTTGACCTCTTCCCGCTGCCGCCCCACAAAATCCACCTCTTTCCAAGAACCCCTGCTGAATCCAGCCCGACTCATCTGCAGTGGGAGAGGCCAATCCCCTCCAGGCCCCCCAGCTGTGCCCCCGTCAGCCCCCCCTCCAGATGTTGGCCCATGTAGGTCACTGGGGCTTCCCCAGCCCTCCCCTCCCTCCTCGGGCTGCTCCTGGAGCTGGGATTTACCATCCTGCCCCCAGGAGCACCCCGGGGAGCCTGCAGGTGTCCTTGGCTCCAACACCCTGCAGCAGGTGCTGCCCTGGCTGGCTGCTGGCTTAGCTGTCACCTTCTCCCTGCTCCAGGCAGACAAAACAGCTTTGCCCTGAGGTCCTGCCTGGCTCCTGCCCGTGACCAGCTGAGGGAAGGGAAACTGAGGCACGGAGAAGGAAGCTGAAGCGTCCCCCAGCCCTGCAGCAGGGGACACCAGGTCCTGCAGCCAGGAGACCACCCAACCCTGCACCCCCCCGGCACAGCTGCTGGGGCTGGCACTGCTGACACTGCTGGGATCCGAGGAGAGGAGCTGCATTCCTCGCACTCCTCGCACTCCTCACACTCCTCACACTCCCCAAACTCCTTCCCCTGCAGCTGCTGCCCGCCCGGGCTGCCCCCAGGGACCCCCAGCACTCCTGTCCCTGGGGGTCTGCGGGCACAGAGGGGAAGGGCAGGGGCTCAGTCACTCCAGCCTGGGATTTTTGGTGGAGGTTTGCCTGAGCAGCTCCCTGATGGGACACGGAGAAATGTGGAAGGTGCAGGAAATCACAAGACACGCGGTGTAACGAACCCACGGGACACCCAGGGGGTCACAGCAGGGCTCAGGGCGTAACCAGAACCCTCCAGACTCTCAGTGGGGCCAAACACCCAAACAGGAGCAGTTTCGGGCCCCACGAGTTCCCCTCTCGGGCTGCCACCAAAGTTTCGCTTCCTCCAGCTGAGCAGCCCTGGAACAGCTCTGGAACAGCCCTGGAACAGCTCTGGAGCAGCTCTGGAACACCTCTGGAACACCTCTGGAGCAGTTCTGGAACACCTCTGGAACACCTCTGGAGCAGCTCTGCCCTGGGAAGGGCCGGAGCTTCCTGCAGGCCTGGCTGAAGCCAGGCTGTCCCTGGCTCAGGGATGCACACACGTGTGTGCAGGGGACACAATTCCTCCCCAAATCCCACCACACCAGGCATGGCAGAGCTCACAGAGGGCAAACACCCCCTCGGTGCAGCCACAGGACCGAGCGTGCCAAAACACCCCCTGCCAGCAGCACGAGCCGAGCTGGAACCGGGAGCGGCGAGGAGCAAACAGCTCCTCGAGTGCTCTCGTGCTAATTGAGCCAATGCCTCTGGTAGCAAACAAGGGGAGGCTCAAGAGAAGCGTTTCCTCACCCCCCTCCTCGTCACCCAGGGCCCTCTGGCAGCCCCGGCTTCCTGCGAGGAAGCGCCGAGCCCGGCCGTGCTCCCGGCGCGGGCAGCGCCCAAACCGGGCCAGAAACAGCCCGAAGCAATTCCCAGAAATGTGCTGGGATGGGGGGGGAGGGAGCAGCATGAGGAGAGGGAGGGGAGGGAACGCCAAAGTGGGCTCAGAAGGTGGTGCTGGGCTGGGTTTGGCCGGTGACCGAAGGTCCCGGAGTTCGGCTGCCCAGGGGGAGCCTCAGCTCCTGGTTCAGGAGGTGTCAGCCGAGTCCCACGGCTTCAGAAGGGCAGAACTAAACATCCCCTTGGCATCTTCCAGCGGCTGGGCTGAAAAACTCCATTTCCTCTCCTTGCAGGGCTGGCTGTGCCGGGGAGAAGCCCAAGATCCCATCCCACACCTCAGCCCCTGCTCAGCTCCCAGGAGTTCCCCTCCGCGCTCTCTGCGTGCGGCGTCACCACCTGCCCCGAGTCGACATCCTTCCTGAGGGATCCCGGCACGGGACAGGCAATTCCCCATCCCCTGTGCCTTGGGGAGATGGCACTCACTGCCCTGCTTCCCAGATGGAGAAATGCAGGCAAAAGTAAATAAGTGTCTGGTTTGAATTCATTCAGGGAGTGCGTGGCAGAGCCGAGGAGCTTCCAGGCGCCCTGGGATTTAACCCTGGCAGGGCTGAGGAGCATCCAGGAGCCCTGGAATTTAATCCCTTCTGCTCTGAGCTGGGGGGGGAGGGTTGGGAATGCAGCTTCACCTGCAGAAACACCTGCCAGTGCTCTGGAGCAGCCGCTGAGCGTGAGGGGAGCTGACAGGGAACACCAGGGCTGCTCCGAGAGCGAACCCGTGAGCTGCATCCACCAGATCCACATCACTCCAGTGGTTGTGATGGAGCAGAATCATTTATAACACGGGAGGGCTTTGATCTGTGGCAGAAACAGGCAGCTGAGCCTCCTCACCCAGCACAGCAGACTGGGGTGAGATTCAGACTGGGGGGAGACTCAGACTGGGGGGAGAGACTCAGCCTGTCCTGGGGCCACTTCCACCCAATTTCCCGTTCATTATCCAGGGGGTGGGCAGAGGAGGGCCAGGATTTGCCAGGGAATGAGTGATGATTCTCTGGCCAGCATGTTCTGAGACCCTGGGAGTGGGAAGTCTCGGCAGCACCCCGGGCACACCCAAACCCCGGGAACCCCTCCACGGAGACCCCCGGCACGCCAGACCCCCCGACACCGGCGCGTCCCCCTGCACCGCAGGCACACCCACAGCCAGCTGTCACCTCTGGGACCAGCACGGAGCCACCTCAGTGCACAGCAGCACCAGATGTCAGCTCCGGCTCTGCCCCACCACAGATTCTTCCATATAAAGCCACGGCCGCGGCTGCTGCGCGTTATTTATGGCCCCTCACGCGCACGTGGAGCCGCCTCGGGCCCAGGCGGGAGCTCTGCCCCGTAAGAAACACAAACACGGGGGCTTCTTGTTCAGAACAGGCCCCCTGTGGCCCCTCCAGCCTCGTCCCTCTCCGGGGCTCCCAACACACCTGGAGTGGAGCTGGAGCGACCTGGCTGTCCTCAGGAGGGACAGACAATCTTCTCCCTGCACCTCCTCCCTGGGTTGATCCCTGTTCGAGCACCTTTTCCCTTGGCTAGTCCAGCCTATTCCCAGTCCCATCCCAGCAGCCTGACTGTGTTGGTCTCCATTACTGCCGGGGAATTTGGGAGAGCCACAAACCACGGGGGATTTGTGCCACTGGCTCTGTGCCTCCCACATCCATCCAACTTTCCTGAGCCATAAATGCATCCATAGATCCGCCACGGGCTTCGTGCCTGGCTGCCACCAGCGCTGTCCACAGCCCTAACCCTTCTCTCATCACCTCTGCTCACCTGAGCGTTCCCAAGGCACCAACACCCCCCCTGCCCCCAGACAACCTCCATTCCCTGGTCCTGTGTCTCTCTGGAATTCCAGCACACAGCTCAGCTCCACCTGGGCACTCAGTCCACTTCTTAGACCATTTCTGTGCTCCAACAACCCTTGATGCCTCCGCGTGTGCCGTGCCCACGACTCCACCAGCCCTAAACCAAGTGGCCCCTGCCACTCTCCAGATCCTGAGCTGGGCCAGGCAGCCCTGCATCCAGCAGGGAATGTCCCCCCCTGAGGGGAACCCAGCCAGACTGGGGTGTTACCCCGAATTCCCTGACCTGGAGCAGCCCCTGTGCCTGCTGTGGGCACCGGTGCAGCTCCGGGGTGTCAGAGGGGACCCGAGGGAGGAGGGCCCTGGGTGGGGAGTTCTCCCCGATGGATTTGGAGGGCCCTGGGTGGGGAGTTCTCCCTGATGGATTTGGAGGGCCCTGGGTGGGGAGTTCTCCCCGATGGATTTGGAGGGCCCTGGATGGGGAGTTCTCCCCGATGGATTTATGGAGACAAAAAGAGCGGGGCGGGCCGTGCAAGGACAGCCGGGTGTGTCGGCTCAGCCCGGCAGTCACATCCGATTACCTCTGGTGTCAACATCACCTTAAACCCCAAACCCCGGCCAGGAGACGGAGGAGGGGGAGCGGAGGGGGCACGTTGTGCAACACGGTGTGGTGGAACCCGGGGGGGAAAAATCTCCCCGTTGTCCTCTCGGCGCCGGGGAAAAATAGCAGAGATCGACCCGTAAATGGCTCGATTCCAGCCGGGAGAGCGGAGTTATTTCCAAATGGGCGGCGAGCAGCTGGGAACGAGGCACTGCCGGGCTCGGCGAGGGAGGACAGGCACAGAAGGCATTGCTGTCGCCGCGGCAGGAAGAGGGCTGAGGGGCTTAACTCTCGCTAAGTGAATCCTTTCGTGCCTCCAGGCTGGGAAAATGTCTCCCAGCAGAGCTCGGCTGGGAGAGTTCGCTGCCGGAGCCCATCCTGACCCGGCCGGGTCCTGCCCGGGCACAAGAGAAGCCCCCGAGGAAGCTCCTGGGCCCGGCTGGCGCTGGAGGGGCGCTGGGAAGGGCCGGGGCTGCTCCTTTTCATATGCAAAGGAAGGAAGGGGGGATGGGAAAGGAAACTGAAACCGATCCTACCTCCTTCTCCGAGATGTAAAGCTGATCTCCCTTCAGAACCACATAACGGTTTTTCCAGATCTCCCTAAAAATGCCTTTCCCGCAAAATTTCCGCACCCAGCCGACCTTCTCCGGCTGCGCAGGTTGCTGGTTTCCATCCTGGTGCCCCTAACACAAAGGGAAAGGGGGGAAAAAATGGGGGAAAACGGGATTATTCTTGGTTCTACACTCCTCTTCTGCCCCCCTCCCTCTTTGCCCAACTTTCGCCTCCCCCTCCCTCCGGCCCCTCTCTCCGCCGACTCCGGGCCCCGAGTCCTTCCCCGGGGTCACTGCCCGGGGATTTTTGTGCCGCAGACGCGAAGCGGCACCGGCAGCACCGGGAGGAGGCTGCGAGGAGCGGGCAGGGTTCCCTCCGCGGTTATATAAGACAGGCCGGTGTCTCCATCGCCTCATCCAGCGGGCATTTATTTACCCATGGAAAGGGGATCAGGGCAGGGGGGTTGGGCGGAATTTAAACCGGCTGGATTTATTTTTTTTTCTTTTTTTTTTTTTTTCCTGCGGTGAAAATCGCATTTTTGAGCTTTTCACGAGCGATTCATCCGAGGGGTGAAATCTGCGGGTGGTTCATATGCGGGATTTGCCCGTGAGGCAGCGAGGGGATGGCTGGGTGCAGCACACACGGCACAGAGCGGCGGGGTGATGGTGCCTCTGGATTTTATGGTTTCCTTGTGTTCCAAGATGAGAACTGCCTGCCTACATCCCCCACTGCGGGATGCGGGAGAGGCGCTGGGCAGGGGCAGGAGCCGGCCCGGCCGCGGGGTCGGGGTCTCTCTGGGTCTGCCTGGGGGTCCGTGCGTTTTTTTGCGGGGGGAGAGGGGAGCCCAAGAGAACACCTGGCACTGGAGAGACACCCCCACACACACACACACCCCTCCCCAAAACATCCGGGAGCCTCCCTCACCCCGCCGTGCCCCGGGAGAAGAACGGATTCCACTCACCCTTTTCGCAGAATTATTTTTTTTCATCGTTCCTTGGTGCGCTGGGAGGAGGTCGGGTTGTTTTTTTTTTTTTTTGGGGGGGAAAGGAGGGGGCGAGGGGGGGAGGGGGGCTCCCGCGGCCTCCTCGCGGGGCGGGGGGGGGGGGGGGGGGGGGGGGAGAGGGAACCCCCCCCCGTGCTCCTCCTGCGGCCGCGCTGCCTTCGCCCCGCGTGGCTCAGGGCCCCGTCCCGTCACACGGCGCTCTGAGCCATCGCCAGCCCCGCCGCGTCCCCCCCCGCCGCCACCATCCCGCAGCTCGGGGGGCTGCGCTGGGCTGCGCCGGGCTCCCGAGCTCCATCTATAGCCGCGCGCCCGTGACGTCGGGGTTCACGGCACAGGGCGAATCGCAGCCCACGAGGGTGGTTTTTTTTTTTTTTTTTCCTCCTTCTTCTTCTTCTTCTTTGTCTCTCCGGCTCGCCGCGGGGACGGAGCAGCCGAGGGGGCAGCGAAACCCCCGGCCGGGTGTCCCCCGAGGCGTCCCCCGGAGGTGTCGCGGGTCACCGGGAAACTTCCTGGGAGAGGAGGGGTGGGGAAAGCGGCCGGGTGGCACTGGGAGGGTTTTCTGCCCGAAAGGGGTTCAGAAGTGCAGACAAATCCCCCCGGAGAGAGGAGAGGGGGGATTCCTTGGGAAGGGGATGGAGGGAAGGGGTCACTTCCAGCACGGAGGGTCTGACAGCCAGGACTGGGTGGGATTCCAAAAGTGAGGAGACACTCAGCTTCCTAAAAAATACCCCTTGTGGGGCTTATTTTGTCTGTCTCCTGCATGTCCTACAATGTCTTGAGTGTGGGACTAAGGCCAGGGGTGGGATTCGCGGATCAGAGTTGGGTGAGAAAGAAGGAAAAGCAGAGAAAGGAGAAAATAGATTGACCCATCACTGATCAGTGGGTCGACTTTACAATGACCCTGGCCATCCCATCCCAGCTTTACAGTCCATCCCACCAGTGGACAACACCCCCCAGCCCAGTTTCAAGGTGCAGCTTCACCCCAGCACTCTGGGGATGTCCTGGCCATGCACTTGGATTACTGAGCATTTCCAGAGCTTTTGTGAGTGTTGGCATCCCCCTGGCATTCCCACGTGCTCCCTGTTTGTGTGGTGAGCTGTGGCATGCACTGGACACCTGGGAACACCTGGGACAGGGACACAAGTCACTGCCTGCACCTAATCCAGGGGTTGCCTTTGCCCCCCCTGAGCTCTGTGGGTCCCAGGCCTGGGATTTGCCATCTCTGTGCCTCAGTTTCCCCTTTTAACCGCCGTGGGCAGAGCTGGGTCCAGGCAGGGCCGATGGCAGAGGGACAGATGAGCTGCCCAGGGCCCTCAGTGCAGTCTGCTGGGGCACCACGGGGGACCTGCCAGTTTATTTACTGACATTTTGCCTCCCGACCGGCCTCGTCCTTCCTCACGTCCTGTTTTCGGGGCCAGGGCCCGCCGAGCGCCGGCGCATGGCCAGTGCCAGATGGCACCGTGCTGGTGGCAGCAGGACAGCTCCGTCCTGCCCTTCGGATCCAGCGCCCACTCCCTTCCCAAACCCCCTCCAGTGCCAGGGAAGTGGCCCTGGGAACGCACCAGCACACCCCCCCTGCCCTGGGAGCCGCGATCCGGCCCCGCTCGGGACCCTCGGGCTGTCCTGGCACGGTTTGTGAAGGATGTGAGCACTGATTCAGAGCTGGGAACATCAACAGAGATGGGGGGGAACCCGGCTCCCAGTCCCATACTGGGAACAGGGGGTCGTGCTCCCGGCCCTGGACGCTGCTCCCGCTGGGATGGGGTGAGGGGTGTCCTTGTCCCTGTCCCTGTCATTGTCCCCATCCCTGTCCCCATCCCCATCCCCATCCCGTGGGCAGCACAAAAAGCCCCTCCAAGGTGTGTTTGTGTCTCTCCCACACCCCCCTCACCCCCCCTGGCCCCGGTGCTGCAGCTGCTCCCTGCGCTGATCCATTTAAACAGCCAAAATCTCACCTTGCTGCAGAGCAGATCGGCAAACTCTCGGTTTATTTACGTCTTTAACACCCCCCACACAGCATTTTGCCTCTGGATATCAAGTGTGAAGCTGCTGCCTGGAAGATGAGCCGGGTTTAATTAGGGCACGCGCTTTTCCGAGTGTCTGACGATGATTGCAGCGTTGTTGTCTGGGAGAGGGGCTGCTGCAGGAGGGATTTGTCCCTCTGGAGAGGAGGGGGCAGGCTCCTCTGAGGACTGAGCTCCCCTCTGTCACAGCTGTCCTTGGGGACTCTTTTCTCTGGGGCTTCACATTCCCCACCACCCCCTGTGACCCAGGGACAGCCAGTCTGGGTAACAGGACCAGCTCCTGTGGCCCCTGCAGCTGATCTGGGTCATCATCAGGTTTGGACATTGAGTTTTTGTGGGGTTTTTCCTTAAATGAAATCCCTCATCATGTTCCCACTGCCACATTTCCCCTTCCTGCCCAACTTTCCTCCCAGAGGTCCAGGAGCACGGAATGGTTTGGGCTGGAAGGACCTTAAAGACCCCCTCCCCCCAGCCCAGGCTTTGTTTCTCCCCAACAGGAGCTGCCCAGGACCCCTGGGGCCAGGCCCCCTCCCCCCTGAAGGGCTTTGCTCTCTCCCACATCAGCAGGACTTAAGTCTCGATGCCAAGATAATTCCCAGAGATTTAGGAGCTCATTTCATTTGATCTGGCTTGTTAATTCCCAATCAAGTGCTGATTAGAGGCCACGGGGCAGAGCTGGAAACGCACCCGCAGGTTCCTCAGCGGGACCTTGGGGTGGTCCTTGAGGGGGGATCAGAAGCTCCTGAGAAGGCTCAGGCTGTGACTGCACCTCGTGGCATCGGGAAAGGGAAACTGGGGGGATCATCTGACAGAGAGATTGGGCCAAAACGGGGGATTTAATAGGATTTCAACATATACAGACAAGGGAGCAGAGCAAAGGGCTCCTGAGCCCGCCAGCTGCACCCCCAGGGCTGCTCCCCTTCCCCTCAGGGCACTCATCCCGTGTGTCCCCGTGAAGAGGCGGGAGCTGCAGGGATTCAGGAGCTTCCCCAGGCTCCCCTCAGGTGACAGCCCCAGCTCCAGAGGGGGAAGCTCCAGCTCCAGCTCGGGATGGGCAGGGAGGGATCCGTTCCTCCGGGATTCACCGTCGGCTGCTGGACCTGGGCGGGCCCTGGGAGCTCTCGGGGCCCCGGCCACGGAACCCGGCGGCCGTCACCTCCTCCAGGAAGCTGCAGGAAAGGCTCTGCTTAGTGGGACAAGGGCCCACTGCCCCCCACCCCCCTCGAGCCTTTGGACCCCACCAGGACCTGCTCCTCAGCCCCAGAGCTGGCACAGCCCCAGCAACACCGGGATGGGGGCACCGAGGCACAGAACCAGGGACTGCTTTAGGCTGGAAAAGCCCTCTGAGCCCCTCGGGTTCAGCTGCCAACCCCACCCTGAGGGGCCACCGCTGAGCTGTGTCCCCACGTGCCACATCCACAGGGCTGGGGACTCCACCACTGCCCCGGACAGCCCTTTCATGACGGAATTTTTACCCCATATCCAACCTAAACCTCTCCTGGTGCAACCTGGGGCCGTTCCCTCTGGTCCTGTCACTTCTCCACACGCAGCGACAGTGGCAAAGGGGCGGCCTGCCCACGACACTGCGACCCAACAACAGGTCACCCCTGCCTGACCCGCTCCTGGGGCTGTCCTGGGATAGCTGAGGGCAGGAGACACTAATCCAAGGGTAAACAAGCAGCTCCCAAGGCCAGGAATGCTCCCAGCCGGGAAGATGCTGCCGGAGGATGGTTCCTCTGGCAGTGAGACACCACAGCCGTTCCCAGGCTGACTCATCCCCTCAATGTGCTGATCAGGTGATCTCAACAGCAGTGCTTAAAAAAAAAACAAACCCAAAAAGGATAAAGAAACACAAACTAGGGTATGCCACAAATCCCACAGAAGCGGGGTTTCCCTAAACTGGGTCTGGAGCAGGCTGTGGCTGCTGAGGGGTCTGAGAAATAACAAACCCCTAAAATCTCCAGCAAAGCCCCAGCTCTGAGCTCCATGGGCCGCAGCTGGGAGGGGCAGCCGGGTGTGGAGGGGCACAGACAGGACACTGTCCCCTGGCTCCACCTGGCTTTGTGTTCCAGCCCCGGCTCTCTCTCCTCCGCGTTATTTTTAGGCACTGGAGCCAGGCAGAACTGAGCTGTGGCGGGGAGTGACTCGCTGGTGTTTTTAGGGAACCTCTGGGTCCCACACCATCCAGAGCAGGTTGTGCACATGGCCAGAGACCCCTCAGGGTCCCCTCACAGGCCTCTCCCAGCACCTTCTGGGCCTGGAGTGTGCCGAGGCAAGAGCCAAAGTGCCCCCTGCCCCAGGGGGATGCACCACAGCACAAACCCCCCCGTGCCGGGGATTGTTCCCTGTGGATCCTGCAGGGCCAGGTGAGGGCCCAGCACAAGCACCTGCAGGCAACTCCCCAGGTGCTCCACCCGACCAGGGCCCAGAGATCCAACCCCCAGGAGGAACAAACCCAGCCCTGGCTCTGCTCCCACCCCTCGGAGCGAGGAGGGTCCCCGCGAGGCTCCGGTGCCGCCGTAACTGGGTAACTGGGTCAGGCTCCACATCCCGGGATTAGTCCCGGCAGGTTTGGGCTCAACCTGCCCGGGGATGAGTCAGCCCCCAGCGCCAGATGTTCCTCCTGCCCCCGGGCGTCCCTTTTTTAGCCGATTATTGATCCCTTGTAACCCCTTCTCCTCCGAACCCCGCGGAACTGCTTCGGGATCGCCGGGAGCGGGGCGGATCCCCGGGAGCAGAGCGGATTCTCCCTCCCCTGGGCCACCCCCCCGGGGCCCACAGATGTTGGTCCCGGTTCCAGAGGGGCTGTAGGAACAATGGAGCCCGGGATTAGGCTCTTACATGGCTGCTCGGCGCATTAACACCCAAATCCCCTTGTTTCTGGTGACATATCCGCCCTAATCCCGCAGGAATCAGGAAGGCTGTGGATTACAGGAGGGGTTGGGACACACTAAAATCTGGGTTCCTTCACATCAGACACCTCAGGGATGTGCTGAGATTTCCCTGATCCTCGGGCACTGTGCTGGAATCGTGGGGAACAGGGG